ATATGTGCGTTTGGGGGGGGGGGGGAGAAAAAGAGAGAGAGAGAGAGAGAGAGAGAGAGAGAAAAGAAAAAGCGGGGGAGGGAGAATATTTAACAATAACTGCTGGCCAGGCCACTCAGTTCTTCCAAGTAGTAAATTTTGGGGCAATTGCTCTAATTCCTGTCTAATAAAATGAAAACTTAAGGATACAGAGTCCTTTCTTGCATAAATTGCCTTTTAATTTGATACTTGTTATGGTGTCTTGGAAAAAATATCAATTTAACTGACAGCTTTTGAAAGAAAGTGAATATAATATTTTAAATTTCTAAATATTAACTTGTGCTCAACTGTCTTCGAACATGTATTCAAACTAATCTCACATCCTAAGAAACTGAGGTAAAAGTGACCTCAAGTTATTTGCATTAAAGAAAGGAAATTTAAAGAGAAATAAAGCCTGCCCAGAACTCCAGCGTTTGAGAGCATATTCTCTCTTAATCTTGCATCTCACACCATCGTTTCCAGAGTTTATTCTGAGATTTTTTTTTCTTTCTCCTGTTTTAATAATACATTTTCCAGGAAATTGCCCTGTAACTGCCACATACGGGAGACAGATGTTTCAAAGGAAAGAGCTATTTTTTAATGAGATATCCTTTAACATATGCAAGTAAAGCCTTATAAATTGTCGAAGAGTAGCAGCATTAAATGAAAAGCAAGGCTATAACAGAATTTGGAAATTGTGATTCTGCAAAAAGCTAATATAATAAAATTACATGTGCTTCTAAAGATAATAATTTATCAAAGAAGAGGATTTTGAGTTCCCAGAGAAATGGTGGGCAATGTGCCTCTTACTTAGACTTACCTCATTCCCCCAAATACCACCTCTCTGATTCCAGTGTTCTGTCACCCAATATTACCCTGATCACTGAAAAAAGTGTGGTTTTTTTCTTGATTACAAGAGTAAATAATATTCACTGTGAATTTTTTTTTTTTGGGGGGGTATAGCATACAAGGGAAAGTAAGAATTTCTCATGATACCATTACTGGAATAGAACCAATATTAATTTGTCATTTTTTATTTCTAGGTTTTTTTCCTCCTATGCAGGAGGAATAATTTGAAAAATATATGAACATTAATGTATTGGGTTTCTTTCATTTTCATTTATGAGATCGCCTCTGTAGTCTCCAAACTCTAGAGTTGCCTTTGAAGATAAGATTTTTGTCTGAGATGCCCAGAGAAAGATGCAGCTCCTGACATTCAAAAATGGCAATCCCTCGTCCATAAGACACTGCTGAGAAAGGCAAGGGTTTTGTTTGTCTTCATCTTAGGCTCAGAGGGGACAGTAATTGACACTTCTCAATTCATAATTGTTCTGCTCCTAGAAAGGGTTTACTAAGTTCCACCATCTCCTCCTTTAACATGCCCAATGTGGGCTGGGTGAATTAGGGTGCAAACTTACACCAGAGCGACCTCCAGGCCATCAGGAAAGAAAGGCTGGGGGCCTATCTGTTCTGACAGGGTACTGAGAGAGTGGATAATCAAAATGTTCAGAAGTGGGTGTAGGCTTCAGCTGGACACTTCTCTGCCTTTCCCACCACACTCTGCCTGGAGGTTGAACTACATGGAGGGCATCAGAATACTTCCTTGTCCACTGAGTCAGCCAATGAGAAATGAGAAATGAGAGAGTGGGTAGAGATTGAGGTGGGAGTCTTTGGTCCTGGGTGCCCTACCTTCCAGTCTGTGAGACTCGGGGCATCCCTCCACTGCAACACACTTCATCTCACTTTACCGAGTTACCTTCTCAGGCTCTGCACACACGCCCGCCTCTCAGCCATTCAATCCGGGGGACCATAAAGGCTCTCTATAGTTGTTAGTCACAGATTGACTTCCCATTCTTTGGTAGTTTCTCTAAACGAACATGTTTCATACCCTATGTTTGAAAAGAATCCATCTTATTAAACTCTTCTCAATTTTGCTATTCGAGTAAACCATTTGTTTCCTGAGGAATATCTTAACCGAGACAGAGCAGACCCTTGGATCCTATTTTCCCCTACAAAGTGAGAACTCTTCAGGGGAGGCAATATAATGGGAAATGGGGGATCAATACTAAACATACCCTTGTCCACCTCCATGAATCAACTTCTTGGAAGAGACCTGTGTTCAGAAGGCCCACAGTCCACACAATCTAGATTAAAACTCAAGGACTTGGGCTCAAACCACTATAGGAATTAGTTTTCACTCCCAAGATTTCCTGGATCCTCAACCCCCACTGAAGGGTGGTGTGGCAGTCCCAGTCTCTATCTATCTATCTATCTATCTATCTATCTATCTATCTATCTATCCACCCAACCACCCATCCTTCTATATGTCCACAAAAAATATTTAAGTATAGTGTATATTATATCCTGCATTACTATCATGAACCTTTTCTAAGCAGAATGGCTGTGAAGTGGTTCAATGACTTGAATAGCATACTCATGATCAGCAGTTATTTTCCTAAGATGTTAATGAGTACAGAATGTTTTTTTGTTTGTTTGTTTTTAGTAAACCAGTATCTTTGATTCACTTATGTATTTGTGAATGAAAAAAATTATAATGCAAATTCAATCATTAAAAAATTAAGTACAAATTACAACATTACAGGTAATCCCTTTTTTTGTTTATTTTTCACATGGAAACTTTAGAGACTTGATTCATTTCCCACCTCTGCCACCACCACCTCCAGTGGATTATGAAGATGAGGAAGTGGCAGCAGTTCAATATAATGATCCATATGTAGATGTGGATCCTGCGTAGGCCCCCAAAATTATATTTAACACCAGTCTTTAGAAAATTTAGAGGAGCCCAAGAAGCTCTGAAAGCCGCAAATAATCATCCTGAGGTCTGAGCTGCTGCCTTTTCTCTCTTCCATGTGTGTGATGTAAAAAAAAAAAAAAATTGTTTTGTTAATCCTTACTCAAGGATATTTTTCGATTGAGTTTTAGAGAGAGTGGAGGGAGGGGAAGGGACACAGAGCGAGAAACATCAGTGTGAGAGAGACACATCAATTGGTTGCTGCCCACAGGCACCAGGGATGGAACCTGCAACCGAGTTATGTGCCCTTGACAGAAATCTAACCCTGGACCCTTCAGTACACAGGCCAATGCTCTATCCTCTGAGCAAACCGGCTAGGAAGTGTGTGATATTTTTTAAAATAACAAAATTCATCTGAACACATCAACCTAACAGGAGACCTACTTAACAATGAAATACATCTGAACACTTTCAACTTATTTTTATATTTGAGTGCATGTTCTTTTGAGGCTCTTGGTCTGGTTTCAGATCCCCTGTGTA